CAGTGCATTAACTAAGCGAAGAACGCAAACTGAGAAATAATTCAGCAATGTGGAATAAAAAAGTATTAAATTAACCAACATTTAAAATTAACAAATAATTATTTAACTTAATACTTATTTATTAAAATAACATATGTCTGGTAGTGAAAGGAAAATATGGAAAACAATTAGAGGAAGTCCACAAAGGGCCAAACAAAATACTGTGAATCGTTACAGAGTAAAGGGCATCCAAGTAGTGGAAGATTTTTCACATTTTGAAGAAACAAGTAAAAATAATAATAACAAGAGACACGAACTCAACATTTGGGATGTTGATTCAAGAGGAAAATATATATATAAGACTGAACAGGAGTTGTGTTAGTAACACATGACACTTTGAGTTATTAACCTGTTATTTTCTCATTATGCCGAGAAAAGTTCTTGAGTTAAACGGCGCATAGATGGCAGCACTTTACAGTAAAGCAGCTATCGTGATAGCGTGCGTTGAAAGCCCTTGTATGTTGCCGAGACGATAGAGTATTAGATGAATCTAATATTTACATTAATGCCAATTAAAGAATATTTCAATTTCGACATTAAAACATTCTGTTCGCAATGGTCTCTCACACTGTGTTTGAGAGAAAACACAATTTGACCTGAAGTTTTCTGTAATGGTAGCACAACATATTTGAATTGGATCAAATCGAAATATACGCGAGTAGATAAAATTATTAGCAGAAAATGAAATTAAAGGATAGTAGCTTAGATGTCTTACCAAATGTAAACTTGATGTACCCGGATTTTATTTGGTCATGATTGAATATTTTCAACTAAGCATATTGATATATTTTAATCATAAAGTTTACTGAATATTTTTAATTGTTTTAAAACAAGGTACAGTTGAGATGCACGAAAATTCAGGCTGAGTTTACAGCAGGAGGTCAGAAACACTCGTGTAATGTCACTTTGCAGGCACACCTGGCCTATATTAAATATGTTTCTGAAAGTGGTACAAAGGGAGTGTGGTGTGAGGATTATTAGATTCTCGTGGTTAGAAATTAGTGGTTGGTACTTGTACAGAGTCTATTCTATTGCATTTATTTGTATAATAATTACTTGCAACCTCAACACCCATTTTCTTTTCACTTGACTCAGCATGTTTGTATAACAACCAGACAGTAGTGAATGGAATGCAAATGGGTTGTAGGATACCTGTGTTACCATTATCATGGCAATGATAACAGTGGCAGTATAGCTGTGTGTTGGTCAAGCATGAGACCAAATGAAGCCTGGGGTATCATGAGATCCACAGCTGCAAAGAGCACATTGTCTATTGACAATATACACGTAATTACGTATATGCCTGTAGGAATGTCACTCGACTATGGCAATAAATTTTGCATTTAAACCGGGCCATTACAACTTTTAAACCTAAAGTTCTAGCTAAACTTCTGATCTATCAAAATTCATTTGACCATACATTCTCAACCATGACTTTTCTATTCCAGATAAAATACTTAGCCCTTCTAGCTATTTTGTTTCCTAGCTAGACAACTGTGTCATCATATTGTGTGTGTGCAAAATCTTTCATTGTCTTTAACACTGCCATAGAAGGAGATTTTTGTGGTAGATTCCTGTATGGAGTTCTTGAAGACAAGGACTCTTACGTGATAGTCCCTAAAACATCAGGGTCAACACCACGTTTAACTTGGCAAAACACATGAATGGAGAACCATTTTTGCCTGGTGCATTGGATGAATCCGTCCGCAGCAATGAAATGAACTAGCAACAATGTCAGTAGAGTTACCACTTCCTCAACTGACTGCTAACTACCTTGTAACTGCTGGAAAGTGTGGCTTTCAAAATCCTAATGCTGGTGAAGCCCAGCCTTATGGCAGTACAGTCACATGTCTCCATCTTGAAGTTACACCACCGCAACTAGTAAAAAAAGAGAGCTTTAACCAACATCAAGGGGATGGTCTAAACCATTCGGTTGTTCCACTGAGAATGTTATATCATTAGATATTATAATTGCCAGCTTTATACTCACCTCTTGTGGGGCCATTACATTCCTAATATAAAGAAACCCTTCTTAGAGTTAAAATCTGGGAAGAAAACCTCTGACCTCAGGATAATTATATATCAATACCAAACATCTAAGGCAACAGTACCACCAACATCCGAGATCAAAATGAGAGCCTTATCCCTATTGTAATAGCACCACCATCTAATCAAGTATGAGGGCTGAATCACCATCATGACTAGAGGATGAATTGTGGTGACTGTAGGCCGTACTGGTACAAACCCGTAATGCCTTGGTGGAAGCTAGGGATATCATCCAGTGGACTGCAGATGCCAACAAAAAGTCGACCAATACACTAGAATTCCTGCTGACAGGGTTACAGTAAATGCATGGAGTTCTATTCTAAGACTCTTCTTTGACTTTGAATTTCGCGCAAAGCTACACGACGGCTTTCTGCGCTATCCATCCCTAATTTAGTAGTGTAAGACTAGAGGGAAGGCAGCTAGTCATCACCACCCACCGCCAACTCTTGGGCTACTCTTTTATCAACGAATAATGGGATTGACCGTCACATTATAACGCCCCCACGGCTGAAATAGGCGAGCATGTTTGGTGGGACGTAAATTCGAACCCGTGACCCTCAGCTTGCGAGTTGAGCGCCCTAACCACCTGGCCATTCTCAGAGTAGTTTAAATATTTGTATGCACTATTTATTTTTGTACTTCTGTTAATTTTATTTGTAATTTATTTCATTTTG